ATTACAATGTAAATAATAGTTTTGGTTGTAACTTATAATAGTAAAGTTGTTATTAAATTAGATAGTACAATAGTAATTATAAGTTTAGAAAGAAAAGAGCTTTTGTATAATATTAAAATATAAAGTAAAAACTTTAGATTAGTAGCAAAAATCAAAGATATATGCATATCAAAGAATATTAAGTTAATATTGATTAAAATTAAAATATATAATAAAATAGTATAAAATAAAAAAACTAACAAATTTATAAAAGAAAATATACTGTTTAGTAAGTACTCAGATTTGAAATTTAAGAAGAATTGCTAGTTTCTATGTGTATTGTATTAAAAAAAATCAGTTGTAAAAATATCTATAAGAAAATTTGTTAAAAAATTAATAAATATAACAAATGATATTAAATAATGATATTTAAATACAATTAAGAAGTCTAACTGAATTTTATAGTATAAAAAAATTAAAGAACACTATAGAAAAAGAACAGAATATTAATAAAAATTAGGTATAAATTATTTAAAAAAACAAGATCTTATTTAAAATTAAGTATATTAGTAATAGTTTCTAATTCTTAATATATTAAAAAAGAAAACATTAAAATTATACAATTCAGATAAATATAAAGAGCATGATATAGGTTAAGAGATATTAATTCATTTGTTTAGCAATAAAAAGTATAATAGTTATTGAAATAATATTGAAAAATTAATATGTTGATTAGTATAAAAAAAATTTAATAAAACAGAAAAAAGTAAACTTATAAGACTTGATTTAAGAAGAATATTAGAAAGTAGATAAGGTTAAATATTAAAAGTTATATATATGATACTTTTATATAAAGAGTATGTTTAAAGAATTGTATATAAAACAAATTTTATAAAAAAATATAAGATAAAATATAATATTATATATTAAGATTGTAAAAGAAATATTTAGAAAAAAAGTATAATAAAAAAAATATAAAAAAAAACAATAGTCAAATAGGTGAATAAAGATGAAATAATATTGAAGTCAAAATAAGCAGAGTTAAAATAACTAAAAATAAAGATCATAGTTTAAAAAGTATCAAAAATAAAAAAGAAAGTAAAAAAAACATATTGAATAGGATTAAAGTAGTTAAAAACAAAAAAAAGCAAACTATATTTAATTATTTAATAAAGGTGTTAATGAATTAGTACAAAACAACTAAAAAAGTCTTCCAATTTAGATATAAATTAATACAACAAGTTATATTTGTGTACAGTTTCTATACTTGAGTAATGTCATGCTTGTAATCTTAAAAAACAAAATACTAGAAATAAATAATGTTTCATTAGTAAATTTTGTATTTGAGTTTTAATAAGACTGCCAAAGATAAAAAAAATAATTATATAATATTAAGATAATACTACAAAATTAATTTATAACAATTTAACAATAATTGCTTATTGAAATTATTTTTTTGAATTTTAGCTAGTTAAGTCAGCTCAACTTTTACATGATTACTAGCAAGATCTGGTTGCTAATAAATTGAAGAAAAAATCACAAAATTATTATTTAAATTGTTGTTACTACTAAAATATTAACTACTTTTCTAATGCTTGTTTTTATTAAAAAATGACTTATTATATACACAATGAATGTAAAAATCAATAAGATTTATTAATTTATATTATGCATTTTTTATAATTTTTTTTATTTATTTGTATTATGTATTTTTTATTAATTATATTGATTTTTTTTATAATTTTTTTATTTATTTGTATTATGTATTTTTTATTAATTATATTGATTTTTTTATTATTTATTTAAATCATTTTTTTTTAATACACTGTAGCTAAAATTTTTATTATTTATTTGAAGCATTTTTTTTTAATATACTGTGGCTAAAATTTAATATTATTTATTTGAAGCATTTTTTTTTAATATACTGTAGCTAAAATTTATTATAATTTATTTGATGCATTTTTTTTTAATATACTGTAGCCTCGGGTTATTTCAAAATTTAAGAATAGCCTAAGTCAATTTGGAATCGACCTAAATTGTGAAGTGACTCAGAGCATGCACGCATAAAAATATTCAAACGTACTTGTACGAAAAAAAATTATTAAAGTTTATATGCGTTCGTACTAACTTACATTACTACCTATGATATTAGTGTATGTTATGATTTTTTTTTTAAAAAAAAATAACCGCTACGTATACATACGTACGTACTATTCTGGTCACCCACTATACTGTTTTGTAAGTTGTACTGCACTCCTTATTAAATTGCAATTCGAACTCGGCTTACCAATATTTTAATTACAAAATTTTAAACTTAAATAACTGTAAAACATTGCCACGGAGCAACTTTACAATGAAATTTCCTTTTTTGATTCCATGTGGAATCACACATGCTTCGATGATTTCATAGATATAACATTTTGTGCATCTGTGAAACATTAACGTCATTCATTAAGTTGAATCATGAGGATGCAAATATACAAAATATACTAATATAATAACGATAAAAAAATTATTTCGAAATAATTTATTATGGTATCAGCAATACTAGCTATATTCCATAACTAGGTATTGGTAACTAGTCACTAAATCACTTTTTTAATTGAACTTAAACATGTATATACCGTGTAACGTCAAAATGCGTAGGTATTCATAGAACTTTGTGGAATCTTATATATTTATGAACGATTTTGAAATTAAAATTTTTTTGATAATTCCAAATTTAAATAAAAATGTCAATTTGTAGTTTATCTCCGAATCATAACGTCAAGTAATACAAATTAATGATTCTGTTATTAGATATTTAGTTATAAGATGAAAAATTTCAAATACCGATATTATTGTTTATATTATATTAGCAGTTAATATGTGATAAATTTTGCATAAATAATACTCAGGCAAAAAAATTATTGTCCGTGATAGTATTTAAGATGCACCAACAAATTTTTAAGGTTGAGTTAGGGTTAGGGTTAGTGTTTACGATAGGCGTAGAGTAAAAATTGCTCAAGGAAAATCTTTTGTTATAGCACAAAAAATAATAAAAAATGATTTTTTATCTTTATGTATGTAAAATTTGCGGAATAACGGTGTTACGTTACATTAAAACAAGACACTTTATCGCTATTGGATAAGTCACTGTCAGTTCTTAAATAATAAGCTTGAATTTAAGTTTTTCTTTTCAACCTAAAAGCTTTGTTTAATTAACATAAAATAATTTATGACTAATAGTGACTCATTTTCGATCACATCTCTGTATTTTGGTTCGTAACCTCTGCATAAATTAATCAGTTTTTATTATACATTTTCGCGGGTGTAATCGGTGATCGGAATAAATTGTTTATCAAACAACAAATATTACTAAGTTGTTAATATATATATATATATATATATGTATGTATATATGCATATATATATGCATATATATATGCATATATATATTGATATGATAGAATTTTAAATATAAACCGTAGCATGTATAAGAACCATAAGAATCATACAGATAGTAATATATATATGCAGATAGTAATATATATAGTAATAATATAAACTAAACGTTCAAATTAAAATATATAGAATATTAAAATATAAAATTTTATATTTAGTTAAACTTTAACGTTACTAAGTTACTCAAACCTTAATTATAGAAAGAAACTACTTAATAAATTTAAGTCTTGTTAACCATATGTTATTATTAAAGATTAACATAATATATTTTATATACCTTTATATAAATACTAATATACAGTATCCCAGCATAATTACTTATGCAATTATCGTTTTTTCACTTCGATGGCGTGCTTTATTAAAGATTTACAGTATATACAGGTATACAGTTAATATTATGCCAATCCTTTTACAAATTTCTCTCTATTACATACACTTTGTTAAATCTATAATTAATTGCCAGTTCCTTTTTTGACTATATATGGTATTGATGTTTTCCAACTACTTTAATTGAAGTCATTAAAAGTAGTTGAAAGAGTGATCGATTATATCGGCAATCACCGTAATAAAGATCAAACTTTAAATAATCCAAGTTTTATAGAAGTTTATATTTACTATTTTTAAATAAGGATTTTATATATTTCAAGCTTATTAAAAACTTGATATTTCATAGAAATTATATTCGTCGTTTAAAATATTTAAATAAATATTTATTATTAAAATTTTCTTTAAATCACATACATCAGTAAATTCCGTAATAATTTATGGGAACTTCTTACAAGTGTTCTTGACCGCACGCATTCATATTTACTTCTGTACTTACGTACCAGATTGACACCTTTGTTATATGAAGAAAGCCTGATAAAAGCTTAAACATCATAAACATTACTATATCGGTAAAACTGATAAACGTACCTAAGTATTTACATAGGCCAGTATGTACGTACGTAAACATGTTAATACGTACAACATACGTACGTAAACACGTTATGTATGTAACATATTTACGTAGACGCATACGTAGACGCATACGTACGCGCATACGTAGACGCATACGTATACGTATACGTACGCGCATACGTAGACGCATACGTATACGTATACGTACGCGCACGCGCATACGTACGCGCATACGTACGTACAGTACGTAACGTATTTAACATACCTGATACCTGATACATAATGATTTGATTATCGGATAATCAGACCTTTTTACAAATTTGTTCCCACACATCATTAAACAAACCACTTTGAAATGCGCATGTATCAGTATATATTAACACAAAGTTTATTTTTTAATTTTAAAATATATGGATTTTAAAAGTTTTTATATTTTATACAAATTTATACAAATTTAAATTTATACAAATTTAGGTTGACAAAAATGTCTAAAAAAAGGTTAATGCCAAAATTTTTTTTTTCTCTTTTTACAAAACTAGAATACTAATCGTAAATACAAAACTGTCGATTTTTTTTTATACTAATCGTAAATGTGCAAAATTTCTATGGATAATTTTTTTTTTTTACAATGTTACCAATTTTCACTTGATAGATCTAAATTTTTCCAATAGGTGTTTTTAATAGTTTGGGGGAATTCCCTCGTCTAGAGTCGTGCTATAATTATATTCTTGAGACTCTTTCGGTTTGGTATGTGGACAAAAGACAAAGCCTTTTAACATTGCCTCGGACACGGAAAAAGGGAGAGAAGAAACTGAAACTGAAATTTGTGGTGGAGTTGGAGGCGGGGCCAAGTCATGAAGAACTTGGTTGACAAGAGTTTCATAACCATCCCTTTCTTCAGAACTAATAGAATCCAATATCAGTTCTCTTATCCTAACAATGGAATCATCGCGAAAATTTCCATCAACTGGTGCTTGAAGTTTGATAATATAATCGATAACAGTTTCTAATGTAGGTGCGATATTATTATTTCTAAAATGGTCTGATATTTGACTTGGAGTATTAGAAGTAGGTGAGACTTTATCTCTTACATTATCGTTTAAAAAAGTTACTTCCGTTAAAAAAGTTTCATCAGTACAAGTACAAAGTGCCATTTTTTTTTTTTGACCACAATGTACCATTTGCTGTGTATATATATATATACCAGAATTTATATATCTTTTGAAAAAGCTTTATACGTATATGTAAATTTCTGAAAACCTTGGCAATACTCCCGATTAGTTATAATGGCGTCGTTATTTATCAACAAAATATAATAAAGCACATATAATTTATTAAAAACTCATACTGGTTTTTACGTGATGATGCCTTCAAAGATTTTATTATTTGGTAAATAATTAAAGTTCGTATCATCTTTGATGTTAATAACCAGTTTTCTATTTACAAAAGCAAAGTAAATCATACTTATGGCTATCTTTCAAACTTTTGTTAAACCTATGGAACCAGTAAATGTTTCTGTAAATTGCGTTTTTTTCTAGACAAATAACTTAATGACTGGTAAATGCAATTCGATGAATACGAATTAAATAAATTAAATATAATCTTTGTTTATAATAAATTGTATAAAGTTAATATATAATATTTATTAATAAAAGTTTTGAATTGAGAATACTGGTCATCTAATTTAACTTCTTTTGGATTATTTGGGACCAGTTTTTTAAAAATATATGCAAATTACAGTATTAGTGTGTCTTATAATATTTAAAACCGGTAATGCATATATTTGATAGTTAACTGGTTATAAACTAGTAAAAATATGATTACCGTTACCGTTACTACGTTGTTGTTCTCAAATTAGGTAATATTTCATAAATATTAAAGGTTTAATACGTACTGTATTATTATTTCAAGTTAAATTATGTTAATCTTAATATGCACTGGTTATAAACAAGATTTAATATCAATATCTTATACATACGTACGTAATAACGCATACGTAATCGTTTTTAGAATACTTACGTATCTGTAATATATATATATTTAGAAGAGAAGTAGTGTACAAATTATACAGAGAAACCTTCCTAAGTGCCGAAGTGCAATTTTTCTTATTATATATTGCCAAGAGTTTGGTCCAGGCAAGGTGTTTCTCTGCATTTATTATTTAACTAACTACACGTATTAAATATTAATGAATCTTAAATTTTATATAATATAATATAAACATTTTAGATTATACAGTAATTATATTATAAACTATCTAAATCAATAGTTACCAGTTATTTTTTTACAAAAAATGTTTTTGTTTTGTTTTTTTTCGGTTATTTCGGTTATTACGATTCTTGATCATCTATTTATGGTCTTTTTTTGATTGTTAAATTCAACAAATCACGAAGGTAACATTAGAAAGTTGTGCAAGGTAAATAAAAAAAGTACGTACAGTCGGTCGGCTCCAAAAGGTTATCACGGTTACACGAAAATAAGATACAAAATATTAATGAAGACAACTGACTCTTGATATAAAAAAAGTCACCAGGTCCAGCTAAATTCCTTCTTATATAAAAAACATAAATTTTGGCTGAAACTGGTAACTTTTTTTATATCAAGAGTCAGTTGTATTCATTAATATTTGTATATTATTTTTGTGTAACCGTGATAACCTTTTGGAGCCGACTGTACGTGCGTAACGTTGTAACGCGGAAATGCTCTTCGGCCTCATATACATGACCTAAGCCACCAGTCTGTGTCCTTTAATACGCAGTATTTACTGTTTTCGTAAATTCTGAGTCACATAACAAAAAGTAACCAAATGATTTTTCGGCCGATTCAATAAAGTTTTTGATTTCGGCATGATGGATAACGATAAATTGAAATTTAAAATCAATAAAACTTGCAAATCTTACTTTTTCAAAATTTCACTTTACATGATTCAATATTATATGTTTAAATAGAATTTATACATAATTTATCGGAAGTCTGATCAGCCCGTTTCTGCAAAGGAAATTTTCAAAAATTCTCATTTGCAAATGAAAAAAAAAAAAAAATTAGAAAGAAAACTTAACAGTTCGAAAAATTGCTAAACACTTAAATATTTACTTAGATATTTCGTGGATCTTATAAAAGTCGAGTTCTCACGCACGTTCAAAAGATATGGATGTTATTGCAAAATTTTCGTAACACATTTTCAATAAATATTAAAAACTTAATTTTTTGGAATCTTGAGTTACATCTTAAACCAGTCAGAAAATTCTACCTACTTTACTAATATTAGTATCTATTAGTGTAATATATTATATAAAGTCTAATTTATTTATATTTTGACTTTTTTTTATCAAGGTTAATTGACGGTGTTTTCCATAAATTTCGTACACCAAACATGTTAACAAAAACTTTGTAAAGGTGAATGTATCGATATTATAATAAAATTATCTGTAGAACAAGTACATAACATTTAAAAATATATATCAATCATGCCAAAATTAATATTTTAATCATTTGGCTTATTTTTACTTGATGTTCCAGAATTTATACTATGCTAGCGTACAACTGTGCTTTTGTTACAGGATCAAGAATTTATCCCATAGGTACGTACTATGTAAACACGATTATCAAAGCTATTTGCTATAAAAACCTGCGGCCTAAAATACAGTAAATCCAGAGTTACCAACAATCGAGGGCTCAGTCACATGATGACCTAACCACCAAATCTTATTTATCTATGCAATGCAGACAGCCAACTATCTTTATATCGAAATTTATAACGAACCTACTCATTAAGAAACGTTTTTTAAAACAAATTTAGAGTTAATATAGATGTTCTGAGTCACTTCACGATTTATGTAAATTCCAGGTTGACCTGGGTCATTAATAAATTTTCACCGATTCAGAAGTGACCTAGGTCAATTCTTAACAGTAAAACGCTACGAAATTTAAAGAATAGGATGTGACTAATTATTGTATGACAAATAAGTATTAACTACTTTATTATATATAATTACATTAGTTAGTGCTTATTTGTCACAATTATTCGTCACCCACGGAGGATCAGAATGTGACCAATCACCGGAGTGACAAATAATCACCAACTAATTTATTTCTAGAATAAATTGGTTGATGCTTATTTATCACTCCGATGATTGGTCATACCCAAAAAAAGGGTTGTCACTTGATCCCGAAACTTAATAAACATTTAAAACCAGAATTATTATATATATCGAATTAATTAATACAAAAAAACAAAAAATTAATAAATAAGTATATGTTATTGCACGAAGTAGGCAATAACTAATCTATTCCCAGGTTCTAATTATACTTTCATACTATTTTTTTAACTAAAGTAATATAATTCATATAATTGAAATTTTATATAAAAAGAAATTCAATTTTGAAAAAAAAATTATAATTTATAATTTTTATTATGTTAAACATAATATCAAATAAGACATTAGTTTATGGTGACCTGTTATCAAGGTGACCCTATAATCAACCAATCAGATTACATAAAAAAATCATCAAAACACTAATAAAATTTTAAATTTTTTTAAAACTTTTTTAATTATATCTTAACAACTACTTATTCAAATTCAATAAAATTTTTTTATTTAAATTCAATAAATTTTTATAATTTAAACAAAAAAAAAATTTATTAAATTTAATCAACTAATTATTAATATATATTTAATTAAAGTTTGTTAAATTTTTAAAATAATTTAGTAAATAGATTAAATTAAATTTTTAACAGAACTTTGATCAAATATATTTCAGTAATTATTTGATTAAATTCAATAAAATATTTTTTTTTGTATTCTACAAATTCATAAAATTGAAATAAAAAAAAATTTATTAAATTTAATCAAATAATTGATAAAATATTATTAAAAAAAATTTATCAAATTTGATCAAATAGTTGATAAAATATTAAAAAAAATAATTTTTCAAATTTTAAAATATTTATTATATTATACTTGTATAAAAATTTTTATTACAACTTAGATTAAAAACATCTCAATAATTATTTAATCAAATTTAATAAATTTTTTTTTATTTAAATTTTATAAATTTGTAAAATTTAAATAAAAAAATTTTTATCAATTTTTAAATAACAAAATAAAAATCTTATATGTTAAATCATTTATATTAATTAATACTTCTTTTTTAATTTTTTATTTAAAATTTTATTAATTAAAAATATTTATATTTCTTCTAATTCATTCATACTATCCAATATAAAAAATTTCTTCCTATACAAATATCTATCTATTTAATATTATTCTAGTATTATCAATAAAAATACTTATTCCAAATATGCTTCTTTTTAAAAAATAAAATTTAACAACCATTAAGCCTTTTAACAAAGTGCACTAAATATATACTACATCTATCTACTAATATAAACAACAACATACTTACCAACCTACAACTACTTAATATTTTAACATTTAACAAACTTATATTACAAGTTAGTTGTAGCAACATAGAAAGATACTTTAATATCAATATATTTTTGAATCAAATCTCTATATATCAGATCAAAAATTGGTTCTTTAAAATATAGAAACCTTTATTAACTCAGAATACATTTCTAACAAACTATAGAAAATCTACTAACTTTATCATAATATCTCAACTCTATCATCTATACAAAATAATATTTCTATAAATAATACTTATATAAATCAACTAATAACTTATAAACAAATCACTAAATGAACAATATTTATAACTTTATTATATCTCTTAACAACTCAACAACTCTAAGTCTTAAAAACAATAAAATTTTCTTTTTGGAACAACTACTTATAACTAACAACTATAACTTAGTTTCTTGGAAAAACATATATCTTAGAACTCTTAAATCTCTATAAGGTCTTATTCTAAAATAATTTAAAATACTCTCAAATCAAATTTCTTATTATCCTATATTATACATATGGCCTAATCTCTAATTTCAATTTACTAATCCATTTTTAAATACATTAAATCTTATTACATCTCATTCTATAACTTCAAAAATCATATAATTATTTTATATCTTATCATCAAATTGGTATATTGGTAAAATAACTAATACATCTAACTTCCAAATACTTTTCTAAAAATACCAAATTATCAACTCAACAACTAACATAACTCATATCTCTTCTACATCTACAACATTTTAAATAAATTATAAACAAACTATTAATCTAAAATGTAAAACATAAAAAAGGAAACAATACTTCAAACTTAATATAAATGTTCAAAAAATTCAAGTTTTATAAAATATTTATACAGACCTATATAAGCCTGCCTCAAAATCTCTACTATTTCTTTTATTACCCTTTTCAGAAATCTTGCTAATACAAAAAACTATATCTGATTCTATATACCAAAACTAACATACAAATCTCTATAAAAAATTAGTATCTATTAACTCAGCTAACTTATATTTTTATACAAATGTCTTTATATTTAATTCACAAACATATAACATCTCTACTAACATTGTCTGGATTCTAGAAAATGACATACAGATCAAATTTAATATCTCTATAACTCATGCATCAAAGTTTATATAAGCAGAACTAACAGCACTTATTTCTTTGTTTTTTATCTTACTATAAACTATTAAATTCATATTTATCTTGATAATTTATCTATTATACAGACTCTTACAAACTCAATACTCTATTAATATAACTTCCAAACTAAACAAAACAATTGAAATATTATTCATATTCTAAATTATATAATCAAATTCAAAAACATTAATTACACTATATACAAAGTCAAAGTACATTCAAACAATACTCTATATAATATAGTTGACACCTTAGCTAAACATGTCACTAAAAAAACTAAACTAAAATTTAACCTTGACTATTCTATTTACTTATTTTTTTTACTTAGAAAGAAATATCAATTATATACAAATTTTATAAATTCTGCAAAAACCTCTTTTTTATTCAAACATTTAACAAACTTCTTTAACTTAAATCATTATGAAGCCTTTTTATCACTAACATCTTACTATTTACTAAACTTATTAATTCTCAAAATTCTAATCCAAAACTCTATTCTATTAGAAACAAAATATTTTTAAATAATTTATCAACAATGTCAAATTTAAATATTTGCTATTTCCTATTTTACTTAATTCCAAATTGCTCATATTGTAATTAATATGAAAATACTAAACATTTACTTCAATGCTCACCTCACTTTTTCAATTCATGAAATATACTTATCAATAAAATTACCAACATCTTAAACTCTTTAAGTTTCTCAGAAGCTTTATCATATACAATAATACAAATCTTAAATTCACAAAACCTTTCTTTAAATTCTAACATATATAATACAATACTTCTACTTATATAGGATAGAACAATTCTCAACTAATATGAATAGCTTTAATTAATTTTAAAAAAAACTAACTAACAACTTTCTTATCTCCTTATCTAATTCTTTACTTAATTGATTTAACTCTACTATTTGTAAACTTGAAACATCAAACAATATGAATAGAAATCAATACAAGGAATTATTGTCTTTACTAAAAGAAAAATCAAGGCTCAACTATCTATCATACAAACTTCTAACTTAAATAACAATACATTTATATTTAACATCAATATAGATCAATTTATTTTTAAAATACTTTCTTAAAATTTAACTATATATATTTGTTTTTATTAATTAAAATAATTCTAAGATTTCTTTTTACTCTCTTCTGTAGTTAATGATACAATAGTTGACTTAACTAAAACAGAAAACTAAAGGTTAATATTATGCTAGATGTTATTAGTATATAGCAACAATAGTGTAATTTAGGAATATTTTATTTATACATTCAAATTCAATTGATATATTATATATTACTATTTTTTCTACTTTATATTATATAATAAAAAAAATAAAAAATAAAAAATAAAAATATTTATATTAATAATTAATTTTAATTTTCTATTTTTATTATAATAAATAGAAAATATATAAAATTGTAAAATTTCTATACTATCTATAATTTTTTTATCTTTTTTTTTTTAAGATGATCTTTTTGGTCTTTTGACTTTTATTAATCACTTATCAGTATTGTGGTTTAATGAATTACCACAGGAGAGCATACAATTGGCTACACATGTAACTTTTTTATATTATCTATTTAAAGAGTTTATCTGAAAGTTTCTTAACAATTGCTGTATCTAAAACCCTTGCTTGGGTGTTTTATTTTAAATACTCTAAACCTGTAATCTGTGTAAACTTAGTGAGTTATACCTAGATGCCCAGATCTTTATCTCAACCTTAGAATTAATTTATTCTCAGATAAACCCTCTAGAGCCTTTTGTACCTATTTTTATAGCTGATCTAGGTATTGCTATAGCAGAACCAACACTTGTAGTCAGGGCTAACCATTAAACTGTTATGCTCTTATAAAGTTTACTTAGACTTCAGCATAACTCTAGTACTTTAGTATATTCTTGCCTTTTTCACTGCTTTTTATCAAACTTCCAATCCAGATAATCCTTGTAGAACTATAACCAGTTCATCAGTATATCAGGTTGGCCTGATATCCTTTTTCTCTAGTTTGTTTCAATGACTTAGTTGGTGTACCTCTGAGACTTCTAATCTAAAGATTCTTGCCTGTTTAGCTACTATGACTAGATACTAGACCTTGGTATTCATTTTGCCAGGCTAGTCTATACAGTAAGGCTGTCAAAGATCTAGCTATCTCTTTACTGAGTATTTCCAAATGAACTTTTTGTTACCCAATTTCAATAGATTTACACAGGCAC